AATTATGTGGGATCTCAGGCGTAACCAAGCCTACCCCTCATCCATGAAGCTTGTGATATGATGTGGACATGCCCACTCAACCTATTTTGCAATTTCTGCTCTTTGGTCCCCAGATGTCTGTCGACGATGCTGTTGTGACCATTGGATAATGCATTTGTCTAGTTTTTCACCAAAATGTCAGATCTACGGATACTTGTACTTATACCAAATGGGGTAAAAAGGCCAAATCAAATCTTTGAACCAAGGTTTATCTTCCTAAGGCAGTGGAGAAGACATGGCATCGACTGCATTTTGCGTGGAGCTACAGAAGAGTTTGGAGAGGAGCATTGGAGCTTAGAGAGCTTTTCTTCATCTTCTTCAAGGAGAAGAAAGTTAGGGAGCTACTTCTTCATATTCTCCTCCCTCTTCTTCCTATTTTTAATCATCTCCATTGGTTTATTCTTCCTCTTCATTGATTCTCCATGGGTTGAGCCTAGGAGAGCTTCATCCTAACATTAAAGAAGGAAAACTCTGGCGATCTCATCATCTTCTCCGGTGATAAGAGCTTCTGCACTACTTTGGAGAAGAAATCTGGCGATGATGTCATCCTCTCCGGCAAGGAGAGCTTCACCACTTGGGAGAAAGAGAAGGAGAAGGGCGACCCCATCATCTTCATCGCAAAGGAGCTTGGACAAGTCTAAAGAACGCGACACCAACCACTGTATTGGTGAGATTTCTAAAATTCTCGCGATTTTTCATTTTTAGAGTCCCCTAGATTTGGATGATAGAGGATTTAGGGTAGGATTTTGTGTTCTTAGTGGAAGCCCCATAGGATTTGTTGCTTTGTGTTTCCCCTACGAATCTAAAGAGTTAAACCTATACTTTTTTTTTATTTCTAGCCCAAAATTCCCAAAATTTGAAAATCGGGGTTGTGCTAATCTAGTTATTTGCCTAGGTGATTTTATTTGAATGGATGTTTAAAATCCACCGACCGAGAACTCAAAGGAATTCCTTTGATCGTCATCTTCTCGGCCATGGAGAATCCTCCTTGCAAGAGATTTTTCATTTAGTATCATGCAAACAGAGTTGGGTGTCATGCTACCTCACGCAATATGGTGTTGGTACACATCTCCATCGTGCAGCCTAATTCTCCCACGAGTTTTTTAGGATGAGCATGATTCATTTTCGGAGCTACTCGAGTTTCATGTTGCATGTGTCTGCATTTTCATTATGTGCACTTCATGAATTTAAAAAATGTGCATTAAAAACATCTGTTTTTTTGCATGTGTTGTTGATTGACTGCCTCCATTGGCTCAATGAGCACTTTCCTTCCACCGACTTGGTTGATTGGCCCCACCGTCCCAAAAGACCACTAAATAAAGTCATAGGATTTAGAGCTTTCTTCTCTTGACCTTAAGAATACTGAGGTCTGATGTGTAGACAAGTTAGCTAGTATTTCGTAGTGTTCTACATAATTCTATTTATTTAATTGCACTTTAAGAAAGATATTAATATCAACATTAATTTATGATCTACCTTGTGTGAGGGTTATTTTTTTAGAATGCAATCTTGCAAGAGCTTTCCAAATGAATGAACTTCAAGAGTAATTAAACCACTTGAGCTCATATACGCCGATGTTTGTGTTCATATTAAATTAATTTCTTTTAGTGAAAGAAAATATTTTTTTTAATTTATTAATGATTTTTTTTAAGAAAAAAAAACAAGGATCTATTTTTTTATAATGAAATTGGAGGTGTTGCAAAAATTCAAGAAGTTTAAAGCTCTTGTTCAGAATGAAAGTGGTCTTAATATAAAAACCATTTGATTTGATCATGGAGGAAAGTTTACATCCAATGAATTTAAAAATTATTAGGAATATCATAGAACTCATCTTCCTTTAACAGTGCCAAGATCCCCCAACAAAATAGAGTAACATAGTGAAAGAATAGAATAATTCTAAATATGGCTGTAAGCATACTCAAAATTAAAAGAATGCTTAAAGAGTTTTGGTCATAGGCGGTCGATTGTGCACGTTACTTAACAAATCACTCTCCTACAAGAAGTGTACATCCTCAAGAAGTATGGATTGGAATGAAAATTGGAATCTCTCACATTAAAGTCCTTGAAAGTATCACAAATGTTCACATTCCAGACAAAAAAAGAAGAAAACTAATGATACAAGTGAAAGGTATGTGTTCAATGGCTACGACTCAAGTTCTAAAGGTTAAAAACTCTATAATCCAATTAATGAAAAAATTATCATTAATCTTGATGTGGAGTTTGATAAAAAAGCTAATTGAGATTAAAGAACACAAGAAGATGAGTATACTTTTCTTCATTATTTTCAAAAAGAAGAATAAAATAAACTACCAATAATCGAAGAAATTGTAAGAGAAGAATCACATGAGCCATCACTTTATTAATTTCAACAAGAACATATGAAGGATCAACATTAACAATATCTTCAAGTGAAAATTTAAATGAGAAGAGAATATGTTTTATAAGCTTACAAAATTTTTATAAGGTAACAATAAGCAAGATGACATTATTCTTTTTTTAATGCGAACATTTCAGCTATCAATAAGTTGTAAAATGTAAGAAATGGGTAGATGCTATGGATAAATAAAATAAAGTAATCACAAAGAATGATACGTGGGAGCTTGCTACGCTTTCACGGGATATAAGGCAAAGGTAAACGAGCATATAAACTGAACAAGAATACTAAAGGAGATATGTAGATACAAAGGAAGACTGGTGATTAAATGATACAATAAAATTATGGCATTAATTATGTTGAGGTATTTCTTCCCGTCACTCATCATGAAACCATTAGACTATTAATTTTTTGGAAACCCAACATGAATGAAAGAAATATCCATCAAATGGATGAAAGTTACGTTTTATATTGAACAACCTTTGAGATATGAAGTAAAAGGGAAAGAAGAAAAAAATCCTAAAATTTAAGAAGGCTTTATATGGTTTTATGTTAGTGTCAAGAGCTTGGGATACTCAAATTGATAAGTATTTGAAAGAAAAAAGCTCATTAAATATCCATATGAGTATGCACTTTATATTAACGTTCAAGATAGATATATTTTAATTGTGTATTTGTATTTAGATGACTTAATTTTAAAGGTAGCAACACCAAGCCATTATCCCACTATGTGGGGCCAACTACATGAATACTTTCTCTCCATTATTTCCTATTGAGTATTATATTTTTATTTAATTATAATAAAATAAGATCATTTTTTTTTACAACAAGCTCATTTCTTTTTAGGTCTACCTCTAATTTTCTTAACATAAGTCGAAACTAAATCATCTACTCTCCTAATCGGCTCATCATATGGTTGATGTTGTTTAATGTGACCAATCCATCTAAGGCGACTCTCTCTAATCTTGTCTGCCACTGGGGCTACACTTACTCTTTCAAAAATACATTTGTTTCCCATTTTGTCTCAAGTGTTACTCATTTACCTAAACATACTCATCTCAGCATCACTTAATCTTATACTTTTATTTTAAAGGCCAATGCTCTGCGCCATAAAGCATTGCAGGCTTCACCACCATCTTATAAAATTTTCGTTTAACTCTAAGTAGTAAAACTTGATTTTCAAAGGTAATAATTCAAAAATGTATGAAAATGCCCAAGTAATTTGAAATAACGACATTAGGCTTATGACTTACTATCTCGACATTGATGTGAAGCAAGAAAATACAAACATCTTTATCACTCAAGAATGCTATGCCATATATGTACTTAAAAAGTTCAAAATTGAAGACTTTAATCCAATTGAAACTTCAATGGAATATGGAGTCAATAATCCTAAAATGATAAAGGACAAAAGATGGATCTAATTCTTTATAAAAGTTTCATCGAAACTCTACACTGCTTAATTTGTGCAATGCTAGATATTACTTATGCAATTGGAGTACTCAATCGTTACACAACGATAACTCATTTCAAGATTGCTAAGAGAATAATTCGATACATTATAGGTACAATCGACCATAGTTTACTCTTTTTCAAATAAATAGAAAATTGTTGGATACAGTGATAGTGACTGGAGTGAAGATTTGGATGATTGGAAAAAATACCACCGGATTTGTGCTCTTCAAAGATGATACCACCTTCCCTTGGGTATTGAAGAAGCAACCTATTGTTAAACTATCAACTTGTGAAGCTGGATATTTTGCAGTTACTTCATGCATTTGTCATGCAATTTTGCTAAATAATTTATTGAAAGAATTACAAGTTCCATTGGAGGTGCCCATCGAGATATACATTGATAATAAATCAGCATTTGCATTAACATAGAATCTCTTCTTTCATAATAGAAGCAAACACATTGACATCCGTTATTACTATATAAGAGAATATGTTATAAGAAAAGAAGTAGAGTTGAATTACATTATGTCTCAAAATCAAGCGACGGACACATTGACTAAGACACTGAAGTAAGAAATAAACTTATTTTAAACAATTACATCTGTTGAAAAGTTGATATGATGGAAGGTCACTGTTAGGTTAGACATGTGATGTATGTGTGCGATGAATGCGCTAGGTGAAGAATAAATTGGTTGGTGAATAATGTGTGTGGCGTCAATTACTTCTAAGCTTGTATAAATATCTCATACCATTTTGGGTTATGAATCAAGTCTCAAGAAAAGTTTTGTGAGCTTATAAACAGAGTTTGTGTGAGTTTGAGAGTTGTATTATGTGATTTTGAGTTTATAAAATTGTAATTTTTCTCAACATTTAAATTGCATGTTATTGCTAGAAGCTCAACATACAACGAGATGATGACCAAATTGATATTTTCATGATATGTATTCATGCGCTTTTGCCCATATGTTTCCCTCAGTCACAAAATATTAATGAGAAAAAATAGCAAAAAAAATAAATAAATAAATATAACATGTATCTTTCATTTGTCATATTGAATTATAAAACAATATCCCATCAAAATCCTTCAGAAATAAGACTATATTCTTACATTAAAAACAAAATAAAACAAATTTAATATCAAATTTAAAATATTTTTCTCATATTCAATCATGCAAATATTTTCCCCATGTCTGCCTTCTTCCATCTTCAGGCTTTTGGCCCCCTAACGTGGCAAACAACGTGAAGCATAAATGATGTATTTAATCCTGCAGTGCACATCGCCTGCATAAAAAACCAGCCAAAAATCAACAAACTTGAGAGAGATTTCACATCGCAGCAGACTAATTAATACGGCAAGACTTCATTTTTAAAGTAGAATTGTCAATCAAACGGCAAGCTACCTCCTCCAGTTCATTAAAATAATATATCTCTGAAAATGAACCGTCTCTGTGACATACATATTTATGCATAATCTGCAACTGTCGGAATCATCCAACTCTGTTTTCACTAACCATGAAGAAACTTGCAATAGTTGCAGCTCTATTGATTTGCCTACTCGGTAAAGGTAACTTCAAAGCTTCAACTCGTATTTTCTGAACTTAGGAATGCTTCAATTATAATCTTAATATATGTTATATGTTTGCTTTCTTCTCAGGCGTGGCTACCACAACCTTCAAATTTGCCAACAAATGCTCCTACACAATCTGGGTCGCCACTCTCTCCGGAGCCAACAGCCCCCCTCTCTCCCAAACCGGCTTCCAACTGCAACCATCCTCCTCGTCCTCCCTCCCCGCCCCTCCGGCATGGTCCGGCCGCTTCTGGGGCCGCTCCTTCTGCTCCACCGATTCCTCCGGCAAGTTCTCCTGCCTCACGGGTGATTGCCGCACCGGCCAAATCCCCTGCAACGGGGCCGGCGGTTCCCCTCCCACCACCCTTGTCGAAATCACTCTCGGGTCCAATGACAGCAACAAGGACTTCTACGATGTCAGTCTCGTTGACGGCTATAATCTTCCGGTCGCGGTGGCGCCGGAGGGCGGCTCGGGGGATTGTAAATCGGCTGGTTGTAAATGGGATTTGAATGGGAAATGCCCTCCCGGATTAGCGGTGACCGGGCCGGGCGGGTCGGTTATAGCGTGCAAGAGTGCTTGTGAGGCTTTTGGGGACCCGAGGGATTGTTGCACGGGCGCGTACGCGACTCCGAGCACGTGCGGGCCGACGAACTATTCGATGGTGTTTAAGAGCGCTTGCCCGGCGGCATATAGTTATGCGTATGATGATAGAAGCAGTACTTTCACTTGCGTCGGGCCGCAAAGCTATACGTTGACATTTTGCCCGTGAGTTTTGGGATTTGTTGTGGGTGGGGCGATGGTTGGTTGATGTGTATGAGATGTGGGATGTATGGATGTATGTGATTGATGGGGAGGATAGTAGATATGAATGTGTGGTTTATGTAATAAAACTTGTCCTGATTTTATGTTCTGAATTCTTTTGTTTTTCAATCACTTTTTGTTGAGGTAGCTTGATTTATTCGAATAAGAATGTGGTGTGTGTGTGTGTCTATTTATATATATATATATATATATATATCACACACACACATACACACACACACAACAAAAGCGAAGAACACGAGTCGACAATGGCCGATAACATGACGGGCTGACATTGGTATGCAACAACAATGATAAAGGCTAGTAGTGATTGAAAGTGAAACAGTTGGGATCTAGTGAAAGTTGTGGTGTTGGACGGGTGACGATAGTATGCGATGACGGCGACCAAATGAAAATGTTCTGGTGCTACCACAGTGGTGACATGGAGATCATGCTTTGGCAATAACGATAGTATATCGCAAGTGCTACGGTTGTCAGGGGTTAGAGGTATATGACTAGTCATAATGACAGTTGGAAATGATTTGCTGATGATGAAAAGGTACTACAATAGTTGCGACTATCAGGTGGCGGTGATCATAATTATGGTGATCAGGGGATGATCTGGCGACAGCGATAGTTTTCCACAATAGTTGTGATTTTCGGGTCAATGGTCTAACAATGTGGCAATCAAGAAATGTTGATCCTTTGATGGTGATAGTGTACTACAATAGTGACTATTGTCGGTCATTAGTGATCCGTCATTACATTGAATTGTAGGTAATACAACGATGACGATTGTGGTCAATGTTGAAGGTAATGCCCCACCTCATTTGCCAAACTAAATTTTAAGCTTGAGCAATATTGATAGTGTTGAGTGTCAACATTAAAGTATACTCTAATCAGGTGACTGCATAAGAGTGATAGACGGGTGACACAATTAATGAAAAGTTATAAATTAGCAACATCGTGGTTTGCATGGCTAAATATATTAAAGAAAATCTATAATGGATGTTTACCTTATCAAAGTTAATATATATAATATATATAAGGTAACATGAGAAATTCACCAAGGATGTTTGACTTATTTGAGGTCATTTATATAAAATAAGTCATAAATAATCCATCAAAGATGTTAGACCGATTTGAAGTTATTTGTATATAAGAAGTTATGAGTGATCCTCTAATGATATTAGACAACTTGAAGTTATTTGTATATATGAAGTCATGAGCGATCCACTATATATCCTAGGTTATTAGTAGGAGCAGAGTTTTCACTTGATGATCATAAACTATTTGTGAAAAGTGGTCGAGATAAATCCACCAAGGATTAGATCAATTTGAGGTCATTTATACATAAGAAGCCTTGAATGATCCATCAAAGATGCTAGATCTATAAGAGTTTTCACTTGATGATCATAAACTATTTGTGGAAAGTGGTCGAGATAAATCCACCAAGGATTATATCAATTTGAGGTCATTTATACATAAAAAGCCTTGAATGATCCATCAAAGATGCTAGATCTATCATATGTTATTTTGTCAGAAAATGTTTGACAACATTAACCTGTTATGGACAAAGTTAAGTGAAATCCACCAAAGAATTTTGTCCCATTTTAACTTGTTAATCGAAGTTTTTGCTTGTTGATCATAACCTATATTAGAAGAGCACTAACAAAATCCACCAAGAATTTTTAACATATCTAAAAAAATTTTGTCCCATTTTAACTTGTTAATCGAAGTTTCTGCTTTTTGATCGTAACCTATATTAAAAGAACACTAACAAAATCCACCAAGAATTTTTAACATATCTTATGTTGTGTATTTGTGGCATTTGATTGATGATCGCAGTTTGTATTAGAAGAGGTATATTGTAATCCACCAAAGATTTTTTACTTTACCTTGCATTTTTAATCGAAGCACCTACTCGACGACTGTAGGCTATATTCAAAGAGATTGAATTGAGTCCCCATGAGATCGATTAAGCCCATAATGAGGTGCTAGACATGTTCTGTGTTTCTTAATTATGGGGTGTATATTGATATGGACTTTACTTCTTATAAATATTTTTGTATTCATATTCAAAAAAGGTATTTGAAAATTTATTCATTATTTCTTTTAGATTTGTTGTCCCCCAATAGAGGTATTGTCCACACAAGCTTAGTTATTATGTATAAAGCAACCCGTGCATCTAATATTAAGGAGGTTAGTTTCTTGATCAAATTGAGAAGGAATTGATTTCGTATGATGAGGAGGCGTTCAAAAGTCTTTCTAGATAGACATATCAGGTCAGTGGTTAGTCCCACCCCCCACTCGTATGATGAGGAGGTGTTCAAAAGTCTTTCTAGCTAGACATATCAGGTCAGTGGTTAGTCCCACCCCCCACCCCCCTCCCAGCTTAGATTCAGTTTTTATAGACTTGATATCTGAATTAAATACAAGAATACTGCCTCAACACAGTCGCGCATAGGACGTTGGCATGAACACCTTTTGAGATTGTAGTGAATGTTGCCCCTTAGCTCGTAATTTGTTCTCATGGATTTTGATGTCTGAATGAAATGTGGAATGACCATTCCACCAAGATCATGCCCACAACATTTATGTGAATGAATTTTCAAGACTGTGGTGAAGGTTGCCCCCATCATCAAAAAATATTTTAAAAATAATCTTTCAACAACTCTCCTTCACTTTGATAAATCCTAGAGTTATGAAAGGAGTTTTTGAAAAATATTCAACCTACAATGAATTGCTCCACAAATAATTTAGTAGGCTTATCAGAGGGATGAATGATTTTTTCTAGGAATGAGTAAAATCAAGTATGAACTTGGCCTTTAGGAGTATTAGGAGAAAAATTGATAAATTAAAGAAGCTCCTTGCATGTGCATAATGATTCTATAATAATCAGTATGTTCATATATCAAACATCCCATCATAAGAATCATTGCTTGAAAAGTTTGAACCCTGTTGAAATACAATGTTTAATGACAATCTCATCCATAATAGAAGACTCTTGAGAATTACCCTGAGCAGAGAAAATAACTTCTTGTAGAGCCTCACTCAAAAGTTGGAATATCTTGCTTTTAGACTCTTCCATTTTTTCATGTAAGATCTTTAAGAGGTGCAAAGGAGGTTTTTTTTCGCCAGCTAGGAGATGTTTATCATGGAAAACAAAGTAATGGCTTAGCATTTTGGACATTGAGACTGTGCCCTCGAATAATGAGTATTAGAGTAAGAAGCTCATAAATTGCAATTGTTAGCCATTGTAGAAGTATTCAAATATTAAATATTTTATTTAGATACAAAAGTATTGTTAGAAATAAAGATATTGCTTTTAACTTTTTTTAAACGGGTGAATTTTAATAAGTTGCTCATTTCATTTCTAATTTACGACTTGTTTGAGTTTTTTTTTTTAGTTTTTAGTTTTATTTTTATCTTTATAGTCATTTTAAAAACATGTTTGATTATTAATTTTACACTTTTTATTTTTTATTTTTAAAAACAAAGTAATTTATTTTTTAAAATATTCAAAAACATAAAAAAAAAATATTTTGAATATTTCTTTAAAATAATTAAAAGTATTATAGCATACAAAATTTGTTTCATTTTAAATTAAAATACAAACAAAATAAAAAAATAATATTCCCAAACAGATCCTTAATAATAGAAGCATTGCTAAAAATATTTAAAGAGCAAAAAAACCCTAATCTTTGGCATTAGCATTTTCATTGAAAACAATTGGGACATTTTCATGAAAATGCTCAATCACTACAAAGAATTTAATGCATTTGTTGCATTCAAAACTTGAAATGAAACATATTTGTTGCATTAAAATGTCAGTGCATTTTCAAAGTTTGTTAAGAACTTGAAAATTTTGCAGTGTCAAGTTCAAGTAATTAATGAGTTCTTTTTATGAATGACATTTAATGTACATATGCCAATGAGAAATATTTCAATTTTATGAATACAAAGTGTTGAATTTTTTAGAACATGTTATAGAAATTATTCTTTATATCCATATATCTTTGTCAAGAAATATTATTGGCAGATCACTTGGATACAAGTCTTTCCTTAGTCATTTTGAAATCATGATGTGCTTTGAATAGTCATATTAATACATGTTATAACTATTGGGTGAAATGAATAATATGTTTGAGAAGTATGAAATGCAATACGAGATTGTATAAAAAATTGATTAATCAACTTCAATAAATTTATGCACATAAATGTTAACTTAAATGCCTAGTGTGATTTTAATTCTTAATCATTTGTGGAATTCGTACTAAAAAATAATTAACTTGTTATGTGGACACCTTACTTGAATAAAAAATTGGTTTGACTAATGGTGATTTATTTTGAAGGTATGGAAATCTGGATGGCACTAATTTTATTTTTTAGTCAGAATTTGGTTGAGTGGCACCTTTTATATCAAATGATGAGACAATTTGGCAGTCTATAATCTATCATTATTGAACTAATAAATCAAACTATTAGGCTTGTTGAATGGATGGCACTGATTTTATTTTTTAGTCAGAAGTTGGTTGAGTGGCACCTTTTATATCAAGTGATGAGACAATTTGGCAGTCTATAATCTATCAGTATTGAACTAATAAATCAAACTATTAGGCTTGTTGATAAAAGAGAAGTGGCGAAAGTAAACTAGTTACAATACCATCACAACTATTTCGAGTTATGGAACCATCAATAGATGTTCATAATATATTTGAATCTACTATGATGAGACAATAATGAAGAGCTTGCAGTTTGCATACAATCGTATAGATAATGGACTCTAATTTATTTAATGAAGACACATACACAACTAACATATCTTATTACCTATGTTCAATAGGGGAGTAAATAAATGTACATTATAAGGTTTCATATTTAAACTAAACAAAAACATTGGTTTCCATTAATTTGAAGAAGTTTGGTATAATTAATGAAAGACTAGATTATTTCAAATGAATAGACACACAAATCTATTTACAAGTGGACTTGATGAGAACTTTAGTTTAATGCAGCTTAGTTTGGATGAAATTAAGCAATTCTTATGTAAAGTGAAGCAATTAATTCACAATGATTACATTTCATTTTATCATAAAACTAAGCATGATCATTGCATAGAGTAGATTCATAAAAGTCAAGAGTGATGATAGGTTCCATAGAGATTTATTTGATGATCTATGATGATTGGTGCTAAATACTCCAAGCATATCAACTTTCGTTGCTCAATGGAGATCAACTACTAACACTTTATGATGCTTCACATATGTGGGCCTTTTGACCCATATAGACCTAAGACTATTGGTTATGTTAGGGACCAAAAATTTAGGGCACCCGCCATCCTTTAATCTAAAAGTGAGTGATATACTAATGATTTTTGATATAACAAGACCATTATTTGAATTTCACTAATAAAAAATAAATTAGCCCCAGTCTACCAAGGTTTATTTTTCTCTTATTAAACCATTAAAGAATGAAGAGCCAATTATAGAGGAGCAGTGATTGGGAGGATAATTGTTGTGAGCTCCTAGTAGATACACCACTGAGGTGTTTTCTAATGTTGTGAGCTCCTAGTAGATACATCACAATATTGCAGAATGCAAGATAACTTGGTAACGGTATTTTCTAATGCAGTTTTTAACAACAAAAGTTAGTTCATATTTCAACCTATGATATCAGTATTTTATGTGAAGCAACACTTATATTTAACCCATATGATGAGCTGAGATAGTAATAAAAATTGTAAGTGTGATTAAAAATATCAATATAGATTGCAATTACTAAATATTCATTGAAAAAGTAATATAAATAAGAAAACACAAAAGCTTTAAGATTCTAACAAATACATATTTTCTTTTTCACATGCCTAATATATATGAAATATTATCATAAGAAAATAACTTAGAATATATTAGTTATTAATTTTAAATCTTAATTATTATTTAGTTAATAATTGCAAAATAAAAATTAAAGATTTACAAAAATATCTTTTAAGAACATAATATTTAAATCAAAATTTAAACCATTTTAATAATATCAAAATATTAAATGATAAAATAAATAGTTTAAAAATTATATTGTAAAAATACGAGATAATAAAAAATATTTGGTGTATTATAACCGTATAATGATGCACTAATCCAGCCTAAAAATCACTTTAGTATAATAAATCAGAATTACAAGAAAAAGGGAAATTTACATATACGAGACAATTCTTACCTATTTACATATCTAAGCCATAAATTTTGATATTTACACTTATAACACTTTTAGGTCAAAAACATGTGCGTGAAAACTGTATTTTATTTTTGAAAAGTTAGTTACAGTGATGCTTTTTATGTGATATTAACAATTTGTGTGTTGTATATATAGTGCTGCAAGCCGTGGGTTGTTGGTGGTCGTGGGTTTGAATTCCCTTCTGGTCAGTCTGTCATTAGTTAGACACATGAGGATGAGTGGGGAACTCATATAATAGCATACAACCATTCTTTAAGATATATATATATATATATAGAGAGAGAGAGAGAGAGAGAGAGAGAGAGATTTAAAGAATGGTTATTTTATTATTTTTTTAAAATATTATTTTGATGTGATATGGGCATAAATTTAAGAAGTAATGTTTAGGTGTTAGATATTGATACATCACCAACAAATTTTCATCATCTGTCACGAATCTCGTTGTAATATTTTGAGCAAGAAATATTCAAATCTTGATAAAAAGTCATCCAGAGCTCTGACTTCAGCAAACTTATAGTCAAGCTAATCGACTCGATGAAAAGGACCTAATGATATCAAAGTTAGTCCAGTCTGAGTCAAATCAAGCCTAGATCAAGCGATTAAATTATTCTTGGAAGATTTCCAGACACATTTGAAAGATCAAACGAATGTTGAATTCAACGAGTTCATAGTCGAATCGAGCGTCTTGATAAGACGAATCCAACAAGCCTAAAATTGCTCAATTCCAGCATCGTTAAGACACTCAAATGTTCATCAAACGTCATCAGATCGAGGGAAGCTCTCCGAACCGTCTGATCAAAATGGTTCATATTCGTGCAATAATTGCACCCTGAACACTATAAACAGAGCCACACCCCTCACATGAGGAAGAAGACTTGAAATAGAACTTGAAGCTTTGAGAAGAAGCTTAAGTACAACATCATCCCTGCCACCGCAGATCGCCGTCGACCAGCATCGATCACCGCTGACCTCCGTAGATTACCGCAGATCGTCATCAACTGTTGTCTCGACGTTGTATCTTGAAAAATCTAGTAACTTTTTCCCGTCTGTGGGACAAGGGGCGTATATAATCATCAACTTATAGTGAATTTTTATAATTGGACAGACCTCGTGGTTTTTTCTCTTTACGAGTTTTTCACATAAAAACTTATAGTGTCATCACATGTTGATTCTCTTTCATCTAAGTCTGTATTGAATCCTCGTACAACTCTATGACAATAATTCATTACTCTACCGCAGTGAATTTTCTAGCACGCTTCAGAGATACAAATACATAGGAATAGGGTGGCATATATGTAAATGTCCCTGTTATTTTTTCTGATATTTACAATATTATTACATTGTTTAAATTTATTATAGCATTTTACTTCGCGGGCTGAAAATAATTTAAAGCTTTGATTTTTTTTTGGAAAATTAAGAGCCTGTTTTTACTAAATAAAATGAATTAAATTAATAAAGGTAATTACAATTAAAATTCTACATCGTCTCTGTCCTGTTTCAATGGCGTCCTCCTCCGAGCCGAGGTGAGGGGAAAGAAGAAGACGACGCGTTGCATTTTTTGGACACTAATCAATATTTTTTTCTCCTTATTTATTGTTAGATATGTAGTCCTCCGATCTCTCTCTGTAATCTGTATCAGTAGCTGAATCTCCTCCAGCTCTCCCCTTATTCTGTCCACCTAACCCTCTCGCTAACACAATCAAGGTGGGCATAAGGGAGCAAGTAAAGTTGCAGAAAGCGGGGAAGAGAGCTTTAGGGATTGTTCGCCGCGCCCTAAGCTGGGAAATTGATGCCGAATGGGTTCGTCATCGGGCTCCGGGAGTAGCCATGATTTCTCATTCAAGATTTTGATCATCGGGGACTCTGGAGTGGGAAA